GAGTTGGCGAGCCATATTATTGGGTATCTTTGGACAGATCACCACATATGGCATTCCTTCACCATCGATCTTGGCTCAGAGTGCTGCATTTGGGGTTCGAGATTCAGTTTACTTTTCCTCCTCCTCTGTCTTCCCATCCTGTCATTATTTCTCCTCCTTCAGACCTCAGACGTGCAGACCTTTGTTCCCGGGCCATTCAGGAGCTGTTCATCAAACGAGCCATTGAGAAGGTCAATCTCATTCATCCAGGATTCTATTCTTGTCTATTTTCTGGTGCCCAAGAAAACTGGAGATTGGCATCCTATCATTGATCTGTCTCTACTCAATCATTTCCTTCAGGCTCTTTGTTTCACCATGTAAGATTTTCTTCAACTTTGATGGCACTTCACACCAAGTCTTTGGATGACCAAGTTCGATGTTGCACATGCCTATCTTCACATCCCCATAGCAGAATCTTCTAGTTAATTTCTACATTTTATGCAAGAGGAACAGGTATTGCAGTTCCAAGCTCTCCCGTATGGACTTGCTTCAGCACCATATGTTTTCTGCCAAGTAGTACAGACCTTTGCTCGGCATCTCCATTCTCTGGGTCTGTGCACACATCACTATATGGACGATTGGTTTCTTTTAGCACCAACCTGTCACATTGCCAAACAACATACCTAGATTCTTCTTTCCGAAGCCAGAAGGGTGGGCTTCATTATCAGGTTGGAAAAATCCCTATTCTAGAAACGATTCTGAGAACCAATAGGATGAGGCGTTGAAGGAGGGGGCCATGAGATGCGAATGGATGATCCTCCAGAAGTACCCGTTGGAGAAGAAGAGAGGCAAGCAGCCAAATATGATAAAAAAGACTGCAAACGTGCCATATCAATTCAGGCTTCTAAATATTCTGGAATTACAGCAAACAAGTAAGGCCAAAGAAAAGGTGACTCCCATAAATCATGAAGAGCAGTGGAGGGCAAACAAACACCCTCCAATAAGGCATCACGACTCAGCAACAGACCAACCATGACACCAAAGTGAGGCCAGAAGAGGACAAATGCATCATAGTAGTGACCAGTAAAGAGCCCAGTTTGTCATCAAATTGATGAGGAGAGTGGTGATATGTTTCAGACAAAAGATGAAGGGAAGTATCGTAAAACAGTAGTAAGAGTCAAATGATTCTGTGAAAGGAGCAGGAAACAGGGAGTCTAAATTCTTCCCAGAATATTCAGGTTCATGATGAAAAGCCAAATCAAAACCTCCATTGGAGACACCTCTGAGCCTCATGAAGGTCTCCATCTTGACCTGAATCAGCTTCCACCCTGACTGCTGACTACCATCAGATAACAGAGGAATGGACGATAGTTGGTTAGCCTCCATGCCAGAAACCATTACTCGGAAATTTATACCCACTCTTTTTTTTGTAACCGCAGAAGAAAACCAATGAACTATTAGCAATGGGGAACAAACCAATAGAACACCCGACTATTATGAAACTGAACTAATGAAAATGTAAACCACAAAACATGACTCTCAATGCACGTACTTTGTCAAGAAAAAAGTGATTTTATTGTCTGTGTATAGTGCTTATATACAGTACCTGCATAGAGAGCATGTGAGGACCGGTGTAAAGTTTTGCTAATTTGATATTACCGAGGGCAGTCGAGTGGGGTATATAAAGACTGGAGCAAGCGAACATAATGTTAGATGGCAAAGATGGAGATTGAGAAATAGCTATAAGTGTCAGTGGAGGTATGTATGTTTTGGAATTTTTGACAGTTTTATTTTTCTAACAGGGTGGTTGGCCTTTGTTTTGGAGGCCTATGTTTTGGAGGCAGTAAATTTAAGTAAGTTTAAGAGAAAGCTTGATAACTATGTGAATGATAAGGGCTGGCTTTAAGATTTTTTTAACTTTATTTATTCAATATTTTTAGTTTAGTTTAGAGAATGGTACAATCCCAAAACATTATGTTATGTTATAATAATAAAAAAAAGAAATATACTAAATATCAAACATCTTTCAAACTGTGTACATTTACACCTAGCATACACATTTGGCTCAAAACTCTCGCTTCTATAAATCACACATTATTTAATAAGCTCTTAAAACTAATAAGCCTTGCATTCTGAACCAATTTTTACTTAGAAGTGGTATGTACTCACATAGTATACATTTAGTCACAGAACCAAATATCATGTGTAGACATACATAAAATCAGGCGGTCAGCAACCTACAGCTCATGAGCCAAACCTGGTTCTTTGAATGATCAAGTATGGTTCTTAAGTCTCTTATTCATTCACATACACGTAGAAATAAAATGTACTAAATAACTAACAGCATCCTCACAAGTATCTTACTGGTCAACCCTAATATCCTACTTTGCTACTGTTTTAAATCCACCTACTCTCTGCTTTTATTGGTGGTTGTATTCCTGGAGTCTCAATAAAGCAGTGCACTGCAAGTACAAAAATCAATTTACATTTTCTTCAGATTTTTTATCATTGCATTTTAAAGATCACAAATTGTGTGTGTGTATATATATATATATATATATATATATATATTATATTATAAAAAATAATATATAC